ATGAAGGATATTGACCTTTACTCCCACTCTCATTAGTCACTGACCTTATCCTTTCGAGGTATTTACACGATATCTGAAAATTTCCTCTTTCAAGGAATTTTCAGAAATTTTTAAGTATTTTGACTAAATATTTCTACGTATTTCGAGATTTTCGAGGTGTTCTATATAATTAGAGGTTACTTGAAGAGTTTTGACGTATTTCAATATACAAATAATGTATCTAAGTATTTCGAAGTTTTTGGAGTATTTTGAAGTTTTCGAAGTATCTCCATGTATTTAGTAGTCTTTGCGGTATTTAAAAGTTTCAAAAAATTTCCGATGCAGTTTTAATACTATTTTGACGTTATATTATTTTTTAACCGGTGTTTCTGACTATTGTATGTATTTGACAGTGAATTTGAGGACATTTTCTAAATTTGGTATTTATTTTTATACATTATACCTACCTACATTTCAATAACACCCTGTATCACTTCGTGAAAATATCGTAGTTCCTTTAAAATAAGAGCGAATAGTCTTTGAAAATGAACGAATAAAAAATCTATGAAAGGAAAATTAACAAGATTTATTATTAAAAAAAGTAAATGTATGTACGTGTATTTGAAGTTAAATTTCTTATAGTCTTTCAAACTAATGAAGTTTATTCGACGGAGAAAACCAGCTAATAGTGCAAAAACCAGCCTTTAAAGCTGGCATAAATGTATATATAAGGCTTAGAACTGCACTGAATCCCCATATATTTTACTCCTTAAATAAGCCAAGAGACGTAAAAAAAATATGATTTATTTTCCAGCAAGTCCCGCTATTAGGAACGAGTATAATGCAGATTGTACTCCTTAGTCCAGACTACAGAGATGTGGATTATCTACGTAAAATAATTTTATTAATTTCATTCTGTTTTTTTTTATATTATGAATCTTAGTGTACGCCATCTCCTAATTTTTTCGTAAAAAATAAAATCCATTGTTAAGGTTAAGAGAATAATAATAATAAATAATCGTCAGTATTTTTGGGTAAAAATTAAGTAGACTAGACTAAGTGGTAAATAAAAAATTATATAAACCATTATACAAATCTTTGACAACTTTCCTATTACGTTTTCAAATAATATAAAACGGTTATATAATACTAATAAATATGTATTCTGCAATATAGAAACGTCGCAAAAAAATTAATTTAAATTTTCTTCGCAAAATAGATAACTTTATATATTTGACAGCAAACAGCTTATTTATATGAATTTGGTTGCTAAATTTCATTTTGTAAGTATAACTTATTCATAAACAAGGTTAACAGTGGCGTATCAAGGGGTTCACTACATAGTCCATTGAAATGAAGGCTGAACCTCCATTTTTTCCTCTATCGATCAAACCTGGGCGCTAATATGTTTTCGACCCTCAGGAATCCGAATTCGCAAATTTTTGACCTAGGTGGTCAGGAAAGGGGTCAAACGGTCAAAAAACCGTAAAAAATAAGGTTTATCGCAAATATCTCGTAAACTACGGCAAGTAGCAAAAAAATAATTGCACCATCGTGTTCCCAGGGAAATTTTACATCGATTTTATGCTATTGCTTATTAAAATTAAATAAATTTATATCATGTTTTGGACAATTACTAAGCAAGAGAGGGGAAGTGTATATCTCCGGCGGTGAAACGTATTTGGGGAATAGTAGAGCGCGAGCACGCTACATGTATCAGCTGACTCGCAGTTGACAGCTCTAGCAGGTGTGCCTTTTTGGAATATAATGCGATTTCAAATATAATTAGCCTGCAGTTGTAGTGGATTTTTTTTGCTACTTTAATTTTTAAATGGAAAACCAAAAATATTACGAATGATTAATGAATGAACAGAAAAAAAATTTTTAGAATGAAATACTTATTGCAAAAATGAAATATACAGGGTGTCCCGAAATTAGGGGGCAATATTTCTACAGGGTGTTCTCTGTCGAAAAAGATTACTTTTTCTTTATATAAACGTGGGTCCAAAAATTCTTCCTAAATTTACCATAACTTTTTTGTGCGTTGACTTTTTTTAACTTTTGAAAAGTATGAAATTTCATGATTTTTTATTAAAAAAAGGTACTCTTGGTTCATATTGGTAGAATGTTCCATTTTTGTGTAAAATCCATTAAATATAATTTTACACGTGTTAATCACCGGAAATCGAAATTTTCAATATTTTTTATCATCGCAGGTTTTGAACAACAAACATGCGTTTGGCGTCATTTGAATTGACAGTTCAGTTATTTACTCTTTGCGAATTGTTATCAGTCGCAAAGGCAATATTTTACGAATGTAGAGCTAGCAGATATTCATAATACCCATTTCCGGTCAGACGAAAATCCACGGGCAATACAGCGCACAAATTTTCAAAATAGATTTGCAATAAATTTGTGAACAGGAATTTTAGGGGACCTAGCTACTTGGACCAATCCAGTTTCCCGTTTGTCTGAATACAGAAGGATACTTAAACTTTCTGCAAAATGATGTAAGAGAACTATTGGATGATACACCGTTAAACGTACGCTTAACATTACACTATCAACAACCTCTCTTTACCCATAATGTCATAAATTGGTTAAACGATAATTTTCCTTTCAAGTGGATAGGTAGAGGTGGTCCCATTGCATGGCCACCTCGGTCTCTAGACCTATATCCTCTAGATTACTTTCTGTGGGGTAGGTTGAAGGCTGTAGTTTATGCTACAGAAATAAATCATTTGGAAGAATTACAACAGAGGATTCATTTATTTGGCTGCAAATAATTTGTTTTTTTTTTACTTTGTCAAATAATCATTTACTAAAGATTCGAGAATTTTTATGAAGATAACAATTCACAAAAACTAAATAACTGAACTGTCAATGCAAATAACGTCAAACGCATATTTGTTATTCAAAATCTGCGACGATAAAAATATTGACAATTTCGATTCCCGGTGATTAACACATGTAACATTATTTTTAAACGGATTTTACACAAAAATGGAACATTCTACCAATATGAACCAAGAGTACCTTTTTTTAATAAAAAATCATGAAATTTCATACTTTTCAAAAGTTAAAAAAAGTCAACGCACAAAAAAGTTATGGTAAATTTAGGAAGAATTTTTGGACCCACGTTTATATAAAGAAAAAGTAATCTTTTTCGACACAGAACACCCTGTAGAAATATTCCCCCCTAATTTCGGGACACCCTGTATATTTCATTTTTGCAATAAGTATTTCATTCTAAAATTTTTTTTTCTGTTCATTCATTAATCATTCGTAATATTTTTGGTTTTCCATTTAAAAATTAAAGTAGCAAAAAAAATCCACTACAACTGCAGGCTAATTTGAAATCGCATTATATTCCAAAGAGGCACACCTGCTAGAGCTGTCAACTGCGAGTCAGCTGATACATGTAGCGTGCGCGCTCTATACTATTCCCCAAATACGTTTCACCGCCGGAGATATACACTTCCCCTCTCTTGCTTAGTAATTGTCCAAAACATGACATAAATTTATTTAATTTTAATAAGCAATAGCATAAAATCGATGTAAAATTTCACTGGGAACACGATGGTGCAATTATTTTTTTGCTACTTGCCGTAGTTTACGAGATATTTGCGAAAAATCTTATTTTGTACGTTTTTTTGACCTTTTGACCCCTTTCCTGACCACCTAGGTCAAAAATTTGCGGATTCGGATTCCTGAGGGTCGAAAACATATTTGCGCCCAGGTTTGATCGACAGAGGAAAAAATGGAGGTTCAGCCTTCATTTCAATGGACTATACACTCCCCCCTGGATAAAATCATGGAAAAACATGCAAGTTAATTTTTCAACATTCTTCTAGAAGCATATAAATGTATTTTTTTTTAGTATTCTAGCCACATTTCGAGTTTAATTTAAGAACTGAGGAATTGAGTGATCCCTTAAGAAGGATCGGGTGCATCATCGGGGGGATGAAGCGTACGCAGGGGGCCCTATACTTACCGTGTTAAATAATCATTGCTGTCAATACAAAGAAAAATATTTTTTATGACTAGAAAGTAAGTAGATTGAGATACTTGCTTGTAGATATTGAATAAAATTGAGTTTAGAATACTTATTATATATTTCCAGTTCACAATTATTATTTTTTTTACCTAATGTGCATAAATAAATGCTACGAATTAGAACAGAAAATAGCAAAAACAGGAAAAAAGTTGTTGAGAAGAATATTGTGGAGCCAAAAGCTCCGCACACCGTTCGAGAGCATCGACTAATTGACATAGAGTACATAGCACAAAACATGCACTGCTCTTTATTCATAGAACTTTTATGTATTTTAGATTTCACAGCCACATAAAAAAAAAGTTGTCTGTACTTTAAATGCGACATTATGTTATCCGTAGTATTTTTACCTCCTGATCACGAATGTGTGTATCAGAATTAAGCTATCACATCACAGGAATTTCCTAACCACAAAAAACAGATCAAAAATAGAAAAAAATCACGAAAAAATGCTAGGAAAAATATATATATAATATATAAATTGTATTGAAGACCAGACGGCAGACGACCGATAATCAAATTGTATCCTCGATTGCACTAAATGACGTCACAATGCGTTCTTGATCACGTGAAAAATTTTTATAAAAATTTAAACTTTTGTAGCATTAAAGAAATTATTTTTTGCCACTGTTAGTTGTCAATTATAAACTACAAATATGCAGTTCTCAAAGAAATTAAACTTTCATACGAATTGTCTACTGGGCAACAGTTGTATCCCCTTCAAAGTAGGACAAAATGCAATTATTTAATTACGGTGAGTAAAACAGTTGCCAGGGTGCGCCATTTCATTTAAGTCAGGGGTAATTTATTATTGTGACTTCTAAATTGCCGACAAGAAGTTACTAATGCGTATAAAGAGGCAGCACAAGATACAAAGATTCTTTCTATCACTGTAGGTTGACGCGCCAGTCTCGCCACCTTTCTGCCGCACCCCGTAAATAGGCGATGCTCGAACGCACGAACGCACCTGTTACTAATCTTCTTGAGTTCCTGTTTTTTCTCCCAGTCCTTCACGGACGACACGACGGCGTTGTAGATTTCAGCATCGTTGACTTCGTCTAGCAGTTCCAGGGAGGGGTGCAACCAAGGAAGCGCGCCCGCTGAAACAAAAACAATTCATTCAGAAAATGTGATAAAGGATGCCCGGTTACCCCATGCGTGTTCCCGCTCGTAGAAAATTTATCTGGTTGTTCAAAGAAAAAATTGCCCCTTTGTGAATACACGATTTCTTTATGTAATTCGTAATTCTCCCTTGAATGTGGAGAAAAATTCAACCGAAACGATTTTCGGTTCGAAACTGTCTTCTTTAGTGTTCAACTGTTTCAAGAGATAATCAAGTGTGACGTGAATGTAACTGTTGCTAACGTTATGGGAGCAGCATCCTGCTATAAAGAAACTATAATAGCTCCGACAAAATTAGTTTAAGAACTGTTTATTTTAATACACTATTTGTTTTTTGTCTTTATTCTCAGAAACATCGTACGTATACAAGGTGTTACAGATAAGATGTGAAATCTCTGGGATGGAGCTCGTAGAAATAAAACAAAAAGTTGATAATAACATGTACGTACTTAAAGACGAAAATCTATTGTAATAATGTAATGTAATCTGTTTTTTAATTTACAAAATAAATGGCTACAACTAATTTGGCTTGTATAGTACAGGGTGTCTCCTCGACAGTATGTGCCTATTGTGAGGATACAAAATATTTAAATAAAATTTGGCACACATGGTGTTAAATGGGATGAATCGTTTTTCCATTTCCATTTTCAATCGAAAGTATTATCTTTAGAATTTGACAGAAACGACTAATGACGTCGTCAATTATATTTTTTCCAGAAACATACCCAAATAGAAAGAAATACCACCTAAAAATCACATTACATTTTGCAATTTTCTCGGAAAAAAAAACGATTTTTCTAAGAAAACTTAAAGACCCCGTACCGTGCTTCCAGACCTATACGGGGTGTTTCTGAAATAATTGCGTTTCTTGAAATTAGTGACAGTGGACACGAAAATGAGTAACTTTTATGAAGCGATGGTCTAAAACGAAAATTAACCATAAATGTAAGCTGACCCTGTGCATCTTGTGCACGTGCGTTGTGTGTTGCAGTATTATTTACAATTAGCCGGCGTATAAAAATGTTTATTGTGTGATGCAAATCCTCACGTTGGTTGTACAGAGATCTCGGTTCTAGTAACGGTTTTCAGTGAATTTGTGGAGTGGTGTTTTTGGTGACAGAATTCTGACCGTCGTCGTTTGGAAGCATATTTATTAGCACAAGGAAACAACTAATTAGGTTACTTAATAAAATTTCGGAAATGTTGAGCTCACTCTTGTATAAATCAAATTAAATTATATGTATTGCAAGTTTAATAAGAGAAAATTTGTTAAAATATACTAATCAATTTTATTAAATTCTAATATCAGTAAAGAAAAATAGAATTTGTACATCCCCATATCTCATCGCCGTATTTACCACTGCATTAATTACCTGCCCGTTTTGTAGAGTTGAAATTAATGATGAATTAAAGAAGTAACTCACCGTGTACATTTAAATTCATACTGCATTATCTAAATGCGCATACATTACGGTTACGTCTGAAGCATCCGGACAGTCTACCGTGAAAATATACCGTTATTTTTAATGATTTTGTCCGGTGCTCGGGACAGGGTGATGTCGATGTGTAGGAGCAATGAACTGATCCGAACGAATCATATTTTTTATTACGTACATTGAGGAATGAATTCTTAAAAAGAGTATAGGTATTTTAGCCAAAATATTTTCGCTACTGAATATTGCTAAAAAAACTGTTAAGGCAGGTAAAATATTCTAAAATATGTGGTCAAACTGTCTAAAATATAATTTTTCTGAATTCGTGAATTTCAGACCCCAAAATACCGTATCCTAATATTTTAGTTCGTTGCTAAACAACCATCAGCAAACAGTACGTGAAAATTACTTTTTCGGTCTAGGCTGGGAAAGTTAATTTTCCCGTACCGTTTTTATCTATATTTTATACAAAAATACTCACAAATACACGCAGTCAAACCAAAAATGCATCATTTAATAAATATAACTTTTATTAAAAGTATCCCACATATTAAACGAATATTATAACTATTTCTTACATTTATAGTTATGTTGCAGTTTGTACAACTATTAAACATTGGCTGAACTTTACTCGATAAGTCGGTGACATTACGCTGTTAATTATTTCTCCATCGACAATCTTATTACTATTAGCAAATTTCTCTTTGTTTCTCCCCCGTTTAAATATTTTAACAGCTATGTCTAGTTTATTTGTGAAAGATTCCTCTATATAATCACAAATAATCTCGATATTTTCGTTTTACTCCGGTATTTTAATCAAAAGCTTTGATCCTAATTCAAATTTAATTGATACAGTTCATCACGGCGACATGCACGGCAACACCAAATATTAAGGCAACCTATATCTTGAGGAAAAACTAATATCTAGATATTTTAAAATTTTTAATTTTATAATAGAATGAATAGTGGCAAGGAATTTAAATAATAACGGGAAAGGCAGTAAAGTTTAAAAAATTATAAAAATTGATTTTGAAATAAATTATAAATTTGACCAAGTTGTTAACCAAGATAGTATGAGTTTGACAGAAATTAACCAATAGGAGAGAAGGAGGCATTTGAAATTTTAAAAAATATATCACTACATATTATAAAACAAAGTCCTCCGCCGCGTCTGTCTGTCTGTTTGTCTGTTCGCGATAAACTCAAAAACTACTGCACTGATTTTCATGCTGTTTTCACCAATGGTTCTCGAGGAAGGTTTTAGTATATAATTTGTTAAGTTTTTGTATACATTAACGATATGTGCTGGAGGTGTCGGAAAAAAGTAAGCCGTCTGGGAGCTTTCAACGAAAACGCTGCCTAAACCCTTTGAGATATAACAAAATAATGTATGGTGGAATTGTGTATCTTATATAGGTCTACAGAAAAGTCCGGGATGGCATATGTCTATCTCTTAAGGATAACATACTATACCCATTTTAATACTTTAAAAAATGGACAATTATAAAGCGGTAATTGGAAAGCTATTTACACAAATACGGTATTAATCCTTATCATTTTAAATACGTTAGTTGGCTTGAGCATTTCATGAAGATTATTTTTTCTCTTTACACCATGCAAATTAAATGAATACCTTAGGAGATATAGCAAAACCAAAATAATGCGCAACGAAATTAATTTCATGTCACCGTGATTCGACAGGGCCGCGCGGGCGCCCCGTGACCCCGCGCCTCGCGTCCGAGCCGGGGAGGTCCGAAAGTGTATGTAGTGCATCAATGTATGGTGGAATTGTGTATCTTCCTGCAGAAAAGTCCGCGATGGCATAAGTCTATATGTTAAAGATAACATACTACCTATATCCATTCTAATACTTTAAAAAATTGGCAATTACAAAGCGGTAATGTAAAAGCTATTTACACAAATACGGTATTAATCGTTATAATTTTAAATAAGTTAGAGGCTTTAAGCATTTCATGCACATTATTTTACTCTTTTACACCATATAATTTAAATGAACAGCTTAAGAGAAACCCCAAAAAAATTACGGACGCGAGAATAAAATTCAAGCGCCTCGCTTCGCTTGATGCGATCGCCGACCCTCCCCCCGCACCGTCTTACCTACTGTTTAGCTAATAAGCCGAACGATAACGCGCGCTTGATCCTTTAATAAACTGACTTGGAGCGAATGGAGGTGGCGACTGTGTTTTCTTTTTGGGTGTTGTTGGAAAGTTATAATTGCGTTCGATATTTTAAGGTCACATTTTTGTTTTGTATTTGTTGTCTTTAGGTAGACGGAACATACATAGATACTTGCAAACATACTTTTATTTCATTGAGTTTTAATAATTTGTTTGTTTTTTTCTTATTGTGAATCATTTAAAACTTCATAGTAGCATTTTTGTTTCGTGTTTGTTTTCTTTATGTAGTTGGATACCTAACTACTTACTTATTAATTAAAATTGATAGTCCTGAACATAGGTACTTTAATTTAATTCGTTTTGTTTTCACATTGTTGGTAGTTACCTATATTGTTTTAAATTGAAAGGTTTTGCATTTTTAGTTTTGAATTCATTTGTTGTCTTAGGTATATAGATATATCGTGAACTATTTTAAAATTAATATTAGGGTCGCATTAGATGAAAGATGATTGATTTTTTGTTTGTTACAATTTAACTCAAAAACTACTCAACCAATTTTACCGAAAGCTACATCTCCTCGGAGTAACATAGGCTATTTTATATTTGCCCGTGCGAAGCCGGGACGGGTTGCTAGTATGAAATAAAGAAGAATAAATAAGTTATTGTCGAAGAAGAATCAAGAAGAATTAAAATTTGCATAAAGAACAGAAGTTTGAAGAATATAAATTATATGAAATAGAGAAAAAGTAATTGTCAAAGAATAATCAAGAAGAATTAAAAATTTGTATGTGTAAGAATAGAAGTTTGAAGAGTATATCTCTACTCCTCATTCTAACTATGAGAATTAGCTCATAAGTCGAAGACTTGTGCGGGAGAGGAGGCGGCATATTATTATTAGGCAGGCCGCATTTGCGCCCAGGAACAACTTATGTTGGTAAGCCCTAACCACCATTCAGTGCAGGAATGAGGGAAACCTGGAAAACCTCATTAATTAGGGGGGTGGTCAAATGCCAATCGGTGTCAATCTCTCACATTCACTGAAACCGTGCGGCTATCGACCAATTTAGATAAGTTTGATCAAAAAAGGAAGAAGGTGTTATTGTCCAAAGAAAGTCCAAAGTGATAAGAAAAGGAGGACAAAAGGACAACAAGGACAAAAGAATAAGAAATATTGTGGTGAGGCAGACTAAGGAAGGTATAAAGAACTAAATGTATAAAATTTAATATCCAATTGTTGAATATCATTGTTTAGTTTAAGATTTAATTTACGATTTGGCGTAGGGTAGAGTAGGGAAAGATTAGTATACTTCTGATCACGGAAGTGCAACTAGTTATTTGCATTGAATATGGACAAAATAAAACAAATTGTTAGCCAGTTACATCTAATTTATTTATTTAATATAAACT